GACTACCAGCACACAGGACCTGGCCCTACAGTCCAAAAGGAACCAACATGACTGGGCCACACCAGCAGTTGCCAGAACATCTTTTCTTTATTTTTTAAAATCTGTCGATATGAAGGTGCTCAAACCTCCCGCCGGTCTTCCGCCTTTTGGGCCGATTGAGGCAGGGGAATGGAAAGCAAAGTAATTGTGTAGTTCGAAAGGATTTTGCATCCAGGTTTCTTGGAGCAGGATGATCTTGAACTGTGATACGTAGGTTAAAACGTCTTTGTCCCTTGTTTTCGATTGCCATCCAGCAACGTTCCAGGATAGTAGTAGGGGTGAGAGTCATTTTGTCTCTTCAATAGCATCTAGGGTTTTCCCAGGATCGTGGAAGATGCAACCATTGGATGATTGAGTCTCCGGTAATGTGATTAGGGGCCTCCTTAATTATTGGTGGGGATTTTAATGCAAGGCTAGGCCACTCAGACGAACAGTTAATCAAGGAAAGTGGAATGGGTCCCCTAAATGCTAATGATGAATATTGGCCCCTATTCAGGCGTCACTCACTTGACCCAGTCACCAATTTTGCTGGTACATGTCTTTTTTTAATGGCACTTAGATTAAACCTTGTTATTTTAAACGGCCTCTCCTCGGGGGACTGCCCTGGCCAATTTACTTACTGGTCAGGCCTAAAGCATTCTGTTATTGACTACATCCTTGTCTCCCAAGAACTTTTCGATGAATATATTGAATTTACTGTAGATATAAGAACCGAAAGTGACCATTTACCCCTAAATCTTAAAAAGGACTGAATTTTGGGAACCCTCTAGATGTGGGCTTGCCCCGCAGACTCCTGATCCTAGCGCTTTACAACAAATAGGTAGATCCAGAATTAAATGGTCCCCTTATGTTAATAACCATTTTGGTATTTGGACACAATCAATGGAAGGTCAACTCCTCTGGGCTGATCTGACTTCCAACGACACTGAAGAGACCTCCCCAATTGACCATTATAACACATTAATCCGAAAACTCCAACCGTTATTGTCAAGACCCAGAAGATCTAACCAAAATGACTCCCCTACCAACAAAAAATGGTTTGACCACGAATGCACTCAGGCAAAACTTATACTCAGGGAATGCTTTAAGGTCTTCCAGCAAAATCCTAACCCTATCACTAAATTGGAGTTACAACTTAAAAAAAGAACTCCAAAGAGTTATTAAAAACCTAAAAAAAGAACCGCAGACTCTCTCATCTGGCAGGCCCTCATAAAAGCGTCAATAGAAAAGACAATTCTAATTTCTGGAAAATTATCTCCAGTCAAACCAAAGCTCCTAATGAGGGCACAATAATCCCTGCAAATTCATGGGAAGAGCACTATAAAGTGATGTTTAGGGAACATCGTCCTTCTGCGCCGCTTAACATCCCCTTAGATAATGATACACCATGGCCCCCAACATCTGAAACTGAAATCGCTTCGCTAATTCTACAAATGAAATCTGGCAAAGCCCCAGGAAGTGATTTCATTGTCGCTGAACTTTTGAAAGCGCAAATAAACTGGTGGGCCCCGGTCCTTGCAAATCTATTTTCATATATAGACAAGACAACTGAAATCCCTAAAGATTGGGGACTAGCTATAATTGTTCCCATATTTAAAAAGGGCAACCCCTCTGATCCATCTAATTATAGACCAATTAGTCTCCTGAATGTGATCTGTAAACTTTATACAAAACATCTATGCCTAAAATTATGGGAATGGTTAGATCATAACAACTTGCTAGAAATTGAACAAGCAGGGTTTACACCCGGACGTTCCACCATTGATCACTGCTTAGTGTTAGATTACTTTGTCTATAAGTATGCGAAATATTGGAAAAAGTCATTATATGCGGCCTTTGTGGACCTAAAGGCAGCATTTGATTCTGTATCTAGGAGCAGGCTCTGGGCCAAATTGGCCAATATGGGTATTAACAGAAGGTTATTACTTCTGATGATTAAGCTTCATGAGAACAATACCCTCCAGATAAGATTTGCACAGGACGGCAGACTCTCTAGAGAAATCCCAGTCCAAAGAGGAGTTAGACAAGGATGCCTATTAGCCCCATTCCTATTTAACATCTATGTTAACTCCCTGGTCACATGCTGCCGTGAAATTGAAACCCACCCCCCTGTGTTCTCTAATGGCAGAAAAGTACCAATTTTAATGTATGCGGATGACGCTGTTCTTCTCTCTCAAACCAAAGTGGGTCTGAAACGTGCCTTAGGAAAGTTTAGTGACCAATGTAACACTGAACTGCTAACAATTAACTTTGCCAAAACCAAAATTGTACATTTTAACCGCTCCTTCAGGAAGGATAATTGGAGCGTAAAGTGAAACGACATTGAACAGACTAAGACCTTCCAATATTTAGGCATTACTTTCTCTTATAATGCCAAATTCTCAGCACACTTGACCACATCAGCTATATCAGCAGAAAGAAGTGCAAATGCTATCCTTAGATTATTCAGAAGGAAAGGAGCTGGCTTCCTCCCGATGGCCCTAACAGTCTTTCAGGCAAAATCTTTAGCCCAACTTCTATATGGCTCTCAAATTAGCCCCTCTGCCAACCTTAAGACCCTTGAAACAGTACAATCTAAATTCTTAAGATCATTATTTGCTACCCCTAAGTGTACACCTAATGCAGTCTTAAGGCAAGAGGCAGGATTGTCCAGAGTGGAATTAAAAGTCTGGGAACAAGCAATATCCCTCTGGCTGAAAATCCATTACAATCCTAAGGGTCTATTACCTTGCTTCCTGGCCGCAGTTCCCTATCCTCCTTGGCTTATGCAAATAACTAACAAGATCAAACAAATTGGCCTAAACCCTGAAAATATTTTTATTGGAACTCTGAACAAGGCAAAAGCTACTATTACTCGGAGACTTTATGATATCGAATTACAACAAGAAGGCGCCCTACTCCCAGAGACGTATAGATGTTTAAAAGCTTGGCCTAATTTTACAGCTGCCCCTTACTTAACCAACATCACTAGCGAAGCCTATAGATGGGCTTTCTCTAGAGCCCGCTTTGAGACAATGCCCTCAGCAGTGCTGTACGGCAAATTCACGCGGGTTCCAATGCATGCGCGTCTCTGCCCTTGTATGTCTAATAAGGTAGAATCTGTCACACACATTCTTCTATCTTGCGAATTCTATAGTGAAGAACGAGCTCAACTTATTTTACCGCTTCTATCAAAATTTATACCCCTTCAATATTATTTGGAATCCTCCCCTGAAATTCTTCGAAAATACCTCCTGGAAGATTCCTCAAGCTCAGTATCATATGAGGTGGCTAAATTTTGCACTTTAGTAATTAAGAAACGTAAATCTCTTCTGTTGAATGGCACACTGCGAAGTTCCCTTGTGTAACCTTTTTTCTTTTCTGAAGTTGTTGCTGATTTCCTGTTGTCTGATCTTGGGATGTTTAGTGTCACTGGCTTTGGCCGCAATAAACTTGAATACAATGGAATTTTTTAAAATCTTCGTACAGAGCTGATGCACTTCAGATAGCTCTGCCTCCCATCTTCATTTTCCCAGAGTGCCCCATGTGCAGCATTCCTACTTAGTTTTAACTTAGGTTGCGGTTTTTCTGACATTGTGGAGGTTGTCACCACCAGTACCAGGTGACGGGGTGAAAGGCTGGACCAGGGAGCTGGAAAGGAATGAATGTCTTCCTCTTTTCCCTTTCCCAAATGTTTTTGCAGAGGTTGCCATACACACTGGCAACCTTCATAAAACATTTTGGGAAGATTTTTTAAAAAGAGATCCAACTATTCCTTTCTCACTGTCTAGTAAGTCGGAGAGGGGGGAGGAACAGTAAGTGACCAGGCATCACATACCATGATGAGAAGGGAATGGGTTCCTTTTTTTATCTCCCACACACCAATGAAACTTTTCACAGAAGTTGGAGGAGAAAAAGAAACCTATTTGTTCCCTATCCAATACCAATGCCTGTTGAACAGGGAGAAGTGTCCAGAGGAACATGAGTGGGCTGACGTCTCAAGGGCTGTGTTCCTAGGAGCTTGGCATTGTGGAGCTCAGTCATGGCAGCAGAAAAGGCTTGGCTGCACAACCGCAAAATTCTTTATTGGCCGTAAAAGTGGTACCCTAACTACCAGACCTCCATGCCTATTTCAGTAATTAGTGTTTATGAGCTTTTCACCTCTACCCTGGAGTGGTACATTTCAGGTTTACCAACCCACGTGGGATTTATGAGGACTAGGTATGTTTATATATACAGTGCTACCTCGGTTTAAGAACAGTCCTGTTTAAGAACGATTCAGTTTATGAACTCCACAAAACCTGAAGTAGCGTCCCGGTTTGCGAACTTTACCTCAGACTTAGAACAGAATCCAAACGGTGGAAGGGCACCGGCGGTGGGAGGCCTCATTAGGGAAAGCATGCCTCAATTTAAGAATGGTTTCGGTTTAAGAACAGACTTCCAGAACGGATTAAGTTCGTAAACCGAGGTACCACTGTATGAATGCCTGTACATAGGATGCATTCATGAAGAAACTGACAACATATATATGATTGAGTATAGAAAACAGAATAAGGAAATGGGAGAAAGAAGCGATTCCCATATATGTAGGTGGTAAGCATGTTTATTAATTTTTTTGACCATCTGTGATGCAGGTGCAATAAAAAAAAGGGCTAACGCAATTTCAGACAGGATTTCATCAGGAAGTCACTGACTGAAAACAAAGTAATAAGGCCACCTCATAACTTTTGCAGGTGCAAACAGTATGGAAAGTGGGTTCAAGTATAACCGCCCTGATGCTATAATGAGCACAAATCATCTTGAATGCACAATTAAATGGATGTATGGAAGGATCCTTAGTTATCAATGACAAAAGCATTGGTTGTTTCATGCATGGGGTATTGTGAATATCAAGGTGCTGATTAATCAAGTTTATGTATGCACATCAGTATTTATGCTCTCTTTTTTCTTTCCTGTCAGCTAATGTGCTGGAAGGAGACTCAATGGAGCAGGACGTAGAGAGCCCTGTTACAATCCATCCGCCTAAGTTGCCCAAACAAGCCAGGGAAGATCTGCCGAAGCACTTAAAAGAATGTACCAAGAGGAAAATCCAGAGGTATGTTAGGAAAGATGGAAAATGCAACGTCCACCACGGAAATGTGAGAGAGACTTATCGTTACCTGACTGACATCTTCACAACCTTGGTTGACCTCAAATGGAGATTCAACCTTTTTATTTTTGTCATGGTTTATACTGTGACGTGGCTTTTCTTTGGATTCATCTGGTGGCTAATTGCTTACATCCGAGGAGATTTGGAGCATATAGGGGACAAGAAATGGACCCCATGTGTCAGTAACCTCAATGGGTTTGTTTCCGCCTTTTTATTCTCCATAGAGACAGAAACCACCATTGGGTATGGTTTTCGGGTCATCACAGACAAATGTCCTGAAGGAATTATCCTGCTTTTAGTTCAGTCTGTTTTAGGATCTATAGTCAATGCTTTCATGGTTGGCTGCATGTTTGTGAAAATATCCCAGCCCAAGAAGAGGGCGGAAACCTTGGTGTTTTCTACCAATGCCGTAATTTCCATGAGAGACGGAAAGCTGTGTCTGATGTTCCGTGTTGGGGACCTTAGAAATTCACACATTGTGGAAGCATCAATACGAGCCAAGTTGATCAAGTCAAAACAGACAAAGGAGGGGGAATTTATACCACTCAACCAGACAGATATTAATGTAGGTTATTATACAGGGGATGATCGTCTGTTTTTGGTTTCACCGCTGATCATCAGCCATGAAATAAATCAACAGAGTCCATTCTGGGAGATTTCCAAAGCTCAACTGCCCAAAGAGGAATTAGAAATTGTGGTCATCCTAGAAGGAATGGTGGAAGCAACAGGTAATGTTTTCTCAGGTTCAACTTTTTCATAACATGTTATTTTTAAAAGGTGCATAAGCATTATGAAAGAGGTAAGATATAATCAGAGAGAAAATACAAGATGCTAATCTTCTCCAGTTTTGTCCCAGTGAGTGTCTTCCGGCCTCCAAAAAAATGTAGGTTGAGCAAAAGGTTCATTCTTGAAAGGTGATGATGCAAGCAGGAAAAATAACAACTCAGAGTAGGGTTTAGAGGGCACTGGATCTTTTTGAAGTTCTAAAGTAAATGGAGTGTGTGGTGGGGGAGAGAAAAAAGTTGCTTCTTTCTTCCCCAAGACCTGCAATCCACCCATCACTGTTTGATGCTCTGACTCATTGCCCGGTGAGGATAAATTCTAGGTGAGATTCAGGGCAGCAAATTAGCTTTCTTTGAGAACTGTTGTGCTAAATTATTTGCTGATGCCCACCTGGTGGTTCATTCTGCCAGGAAAAGAAAAGCATTGCTTTAACTTCACTTCATCACAGGAATCAGATACTCTTTTGCTACAGACTATGCATTATTAGGTTTAGAATCCAAAGCATGCTCTGGTTAATTGCAAGCTCAGGTCAATTCAATATTTACATTTGGTTTAATCTCAGTTCAAAGAGAGAATCACATTTTCGGACATTTCCACATTTAGCTAGCCCCCCAAACACATATGGAAATCCCTAAACAGTAGATCCCAGATCCAGTTTCCAGCATGTCAAAGATGAAATATTTCCCATAGTATGCCTGAGAAGGAGTTTGTTTGTTTAAAATGATTGTAAAGGTAATAATAATAATAATAATAATAATATATAATATTTATACTCCACCCATCTGGCTGGGTTTCCCCTGCCATTCCGCGTGGTTCCAATAATAATAATAATAATAATAATAATAATAGATTAAAAACATCAAACATTAAAAACTTCCCTAAACAGAGCTGCCTTCAGTTGTCTTCTAAAAGTGAGATAGTTGTTTATTTCCTTGAAATCTGATGGTAGGACATTCCACAGGGTGGGCGCCTCAAAATGAAGCCTCAGATAGCTGCTACCACTCAGAGTAGCAAGTGGTTCTGGGCTAGATGGAAAATTCATATATTCATATTCTTCTGTAAGACAGTCTTCCATGTACATGCCCTCAAACTGTGACACCCTGTGCTTTGGATTCCATAGGCTGATCCTTGGAGATGGGCCAGCAGGTAGATGGATTGTATGGCCTGATGGCTCCTTTCGAGTCTTGGCCCCATAGGAGCAGAAACCACAGTTGCAGTGGGGGGTGCTGACTGAAAGCCTAGAGCAGATTTCTAAGCCATAGCCCTTCTCTTGCTCCCCAGATAGCCACCACATGTAGTTCATGTCATGCTTCCATTTCATGGCATTAAGAAAACACACGGGTGCCATAGCAATGAGAATGCTTCTTCTATTATTATTGTTACTATTGTTGTTGCTACAGAATCACAACTGCCATCTTCAGGAAGAACTAGGCTAACTTTACCCCCTAGGGAAACTCAATTTGATGAGCCATACAGCCTACTGATTATGTCAGAGAAACAGGCGCATTCACAAACAAGAAAGAAAACCAAGTGACCAAAGTCATATAGGGAGAGGCTGGTCTGAACAGACTGATGGATCTGACACTGCAAAAACAGGAGGCACAGCCAGGGCCACTGCAAACTGTTCTCTCCAAATAAAAGACAGTAATAGGCATTGGGAACCCAGAAGTGCATTTCATCAAAAATTCATCAAGGCAGAGTGCAGGAGAATAATGGCACAAACCAGGTGTGTGCACAGTAAAAGGAAAGGCAGCTACAAACAAACCCTGCTAAATGTCAAGGCAAAGGCACAGGTGACCAGTCAAGATAGGCATATTGCAAATCCATGTTGCCTTGAGAACATTGGCAACAAGAAATAAAATACAATCCTAAATCTGTAGCTCAGAAATGTTGATGGTGATTACCATGAACTATAATAATGAATTGGAAATAATTCTTTGATGGCTTACATAACATAAGACCTATAATAAAACTGGGAAGGCATGAATAATAATCAAGTTTACAACAAGATGTCTTATCCATTTAAATCATGCACAATTAGAGCAGATTAAGCAGACTAACAACCCAACCCCAACACCTTCACAAGTTATCCTGTGAAGTGGAATATTACTACAGTTGTCTGCTTCTCTGTCTGTCTGTCTGTCTGTCCGTCTGTCAAAGGAAGGTTGTCTTCCAGGCCCTGCTGGTACTACTTACAAATAGTCCCATTTTAAAAAATAAAAATAAAATGCAAACTTTAAAAGAACACATTTATCTTTTGGACTGGCAACCCCACAGAGAAGTTCAGCTGGACAGAGCTGGGTCTATCCTCCAAACTGTCTGGTTCAGTAAGGTTTGGCAGACTTTATTAGAGAGTAGTCTACCTTGAATATAACTGAAAGCCAAACTTTGGCTTAGCATGAATGAGCGAGCATGCACTGCTGGTGCACAGTGGGACAATCCTGGCCACTTTGTTCCTTTCCCACTCCTGTTGTTGCCATGCTACCAGGAGCTCAGTCATAGTTTGGGGTTCATGGTTTGTCTCATTCCAAACAAGCCACAAGCTGTAACCAAGGCTTTACAGCTCATGGTTTGGTTAGAAGGAGACAAACCATGAGTTCAGACATAATGCTAAGTCAGACCATGGCTTAGCTCCCTGGCACACATGGCTTCAGTGAGAGGACTGCTTAGCATGTTCACACTTGTGTGTTGCTTGTAACCAAATCAGCCCAATCGAGTTCACAGCTGTGTGTTGCTTGTAACCAAATCAACCCAATCAAGTAATCCAAGAGTGTAGTTTTTGTCATCAACAATGGAACTGGAAGCTGATGTGTGTGCCTGCCATCCACCCACTAAAGCAATCAAGTTTTGTTGTGGTTCCACATGTGAGAATTTGAACCATGTGTAACCACAGGGGGTTACGGACACTCTTTCCACCCTGCTTTCCGTACTATGTCAAAAACATTTTTGTTTGCTTAAAAATAAGATAATTACATGTGAGATATTTTTTTTAAAAGGCTCAAATTACTCTTTAAAAAAAAACCTGTATAAAAGTAATTTCTTTAAAGCTAATCATCTAAATCTGTTTGAAATTTCATTTATGTTTCTGACAGATGAACAGCTCTAGCGTAATGTTTGTAGAAGGGTTTGCGCTTACATAAAAAGCATGCTCACCAGCTGTGGAAAATGTGTTTGGAAAGCAGTAAACTGTGCACACAGACCGTTATTTAGATACCAAATGAGGCCATCAAATAGATTGCCACCTTACAAAGCTGGCTCGACTCTTAACTATCACCCTGTTGACTGATGGATTATTGTCCCTTTAACAGTGTGCTAATGAATGACTTCAGTTCTCTACCATCAGAGCTATGTGTCCTCTGTACTTTAAAAAGCCATAAGTTTCACATCAAGGTAACTCAAATTCTGTAATCTGTATGCAGTTAAGCACAATTTCACATTTGCATAACGACCCCCTGAGGGTCATCTAGTTCAACCCCCTGCAATGCAGGAACTCTTAGCTAGATCATAGAATCATAGAATTATAGAGTGGGGAGCAAGAAGCTATGTAGAGCACTGAAAGCCTTCCCAATGGATACTGAAATTCCCACAAATTTGGGAGGTTCCCCATACTGTGCCTATTTTCCTGCCAATAAAAACAGGAGACCTGCTCTTTTTAAAAAGGGAAAGTAGAGTCTCGCAGTATACAAATATTCTGTACCAGGAGTAAGTTCAACTTTTTTTCTGCACAGAAATGTAATGTATGCAAATCTTATGATACCTCTCCCCACTAATAGTTGCCCATCCTGGCACCCAACTTTTCAATCAGATCTATTCTAACTAAAGTATAAAATCTTTGGCAGACCTGACTTATCACATTATTATTTTTCATGGAATTAGATATAAAGAACACCATCATTATGACTGGGTACAATGAATAGCAGACAGTTTTAAAAACATAAAGTGTGGATGAAAAAACCTGTGGCTTGGCAGAGATTGTTGGACTACAACTCCCATCATCCCCTGACTAATAGCCATGCTTTCTGGGGCTGATGGGAGCTGGAGTCCAACAACATCTGGAGGGGCACTAGCTTCTCATCCCTGAATTCTAAACCAGTACTTAGGCTCGCGGCCCTCATGTTTCAAATCTGATCCTGTATTATCACTGTTTGAGGTATGTCTTTTTGTGGATCCTGTTACTTCAACATTCAGTGTTCTTGCAACATTCTTTAGAATTTGAAGAACAGGCAGTGTTTATTTCAACTTTGTGACATGCCAAATAGCATAGCTATTGATTCCTAATACTGCGATATAAATGGCTTAACAACAACGGCAGCAAGAAAAACAGCAACTTATCTTTCTCTTCCACCAAGGAACTTAAAGACAAGTTAATTTTGCTACCAAATATGAAGGTCATAAATACAGATATTCTGGTGAAAGCATCTGAATTAGAAATAGAAAGAAGAAAAGCTTCTACAATATATCCAGAGCAGCAGAATTTTCCACTGATTTAAGTATCAGGGTATTTAAACACTGCATATCTGAAACCCAAACAGTGCAAGTGGAGTGAATTAATGTCAAAAGATTCAGGTCACTTTTTCAGAGGAACATTTTAAAGAAAGAAAATAAACTGTCATTTCAGAAGTGTGTGTTGATTATAACTCCCCCCAAAAATTGACCTATGAAATTGCTAAGCAGAACACTGCTTCCCATCTGCTAAGATCTGGTCAGGTGGCTTGAATGCAGCCATCTGCACCTACAAATGAGCTTAATCAGGTATACCAAGCATCTGGAAGGGTGGACATCTATTAATACGAACACTCCCCTACAGTAGCTTAAGAGAGCTGGTAGCATCCAGAACAGAATGTTTGGTGAGCAGAAGTGGACCTCCCTGGGAAAGGCAAGAGACCCACCATTTTGCCTATTACCAGCAGAGGAAAACAAAGCCCTGGAAGGAGAGGCAGAAGTAGGCTCCTAGCTCTGAAGACTGGAAAGACATTCTTAGGATCTGACAGGGCATGGGCTGAAGAAAAGGTCTTTCCTGTAATGGAACAAGGGGGCTCATCCCTCCCCCCAGCACCCATGAGATCAATCTCCCACTGCTATTTTGCCTGAAAGACCAGCCCCGCTGGGTAGCACCCAACTCTGTGCCTGAGAGTATTTCCAAGGACATGGGGGCAGTTAATGTCGCTGTCCCACCATTGTTGTATTTTCTTCCTATCTATCTTCCCTTCCCCAGCTAAGCTGATTTAGGATTCTGCAGCCATTCCACCAGCATAACAGCAGCAATGCCGGACACCATCAACAACATCTTTCTGGCACAAAGTTAAAACGTATCTCTTCTCCCAGGCATTTGACAGATCATGACAAGTTGGTTGATGGCCCGCTGGATGAAATGTTCTTGCTGCTGAGGTCTTAGTTGTTTTTCTGCTGGGTTTGTTTGTGGCTCTTTGGAAAAGCTTTATTGAAATGTGTTGCTTTTTAGCTTTTAACGTTTTTGCAAATCACTTAAAGGCCTTTTTGATGTAAGCAACAAATAAGTCGAATAAATCATCATCATCATGTCCAGACCTAGTATACATTAAGCATAGGATTGCTTGGCCCAAGCAGAATACCTCAAAACACACACAAATTGTAGGTAGCCATGAAATAAAACAAAAAAGTAACAATATGATAAAACCTCATTGAAATGCACTAGAATTTTATTCTGACTTAATGCCATCAGGAATTGTTTTCCCCCTCCGCAAAACAAGGGCGGTGCACTCTGTGTTTCAAACATATTTTGTTTCAGAGGTGAGCAGAACCTACTTTGTTTGACAATTTCTTTCAAAAAGCTTTTACTGCAGGTAAAAGATAATTGAGGTGTTTAAGAGCTAGAGCAAGACAGTAAGTTCTGATTGATTGTGACAGAGATTTGGCTCTGAGCTTTTCCTGATAGGCAGTGATGGATGCCAAAGTCCCATTAAGTTTATAGAAAAGAAAAACTTTATGTTTATATTTTATTTTGTTTTTCATAATCTCACTTAAATCTTATGGTCCATTTATACCCTGTAGATTGCCTTGGATTTGAAATGCGAATAATCAAATCAAATAACAAATCTGCCACTTATATCAATGATAACATTTTCAGTACCACTGTATCATAGCTATGGGTCCCCCTCTAAATTAAAAATAAAATTCTGGGATTTCAGATTTTTCACACTGCTACTTGCAAACAATTATATTGTTGCACACTACCCCAATCTCTGAGTAGTACAAAATTCCAGAGGTTCCAGGCGCTTACCCAGGGTTTGTGTTTCCTTTGGAATGAAGGATAGCAGAGACTGGGGTGTCTTTATGCTATGTGGTTTATTTACACATATATACAACTTGAGCCTACGATGGAGAGGTTCACAGCATTAATACCTCGAGAGGATCTTGCTTCTCCCAAAGCCACAGCCTTTGATTCCAGCAGAAATCAAGCATAGCTCTTATCTCGCCTCTGCCCAGCCTGCAGCCTTGCTTCTATCTTCTAGCTCACATAACTCAAACTCTCAACTCTGGCCTTTGTCTTTCTAACTACCAGCAAATGAAAGGAGGGAGACTCATCCATTTGCTGTCATTTCCTTTGTTACTTAATGCTCCATAGTTAGAGGACCATTACCTCACCAGAAAGCTAGTCTGGCTATTCTAGGAATTGAATCCATTAAAAGGGGGCTCAATCATACAACCTACTCTCCCCAAAACTCACAGCAGTGTGTGTGTGTTCATCTTCCTGACTTGTGTGGAAGGCAGCTAGAATTTAAGTAAATCACAGTCTAAGGAAGAGGAAGAAGAAACTTTTTCAGTGAATTATTGTCCCACTGACTTAAGACATCTCAACTGCCTCATGGTCATGCTAGAAATGTGTCCCTTTGCAGAACAAGTGGAGTGTGTGTGTGTGTGTGTGTGTGAGAGAGAGAGAGAGAGAGAGAGAGAGAGAGAGAGAGGTATTCATTCTCATTTTATAGCTTCTGGGCACCATTTTTATTTAGCCTAGCTGTAACTAGGCTCCCAGACTGTAGTGTGACAATGAATTAAGGCCTAGATTCACAGTTGGCAATACCTTCATAATAAGAACTCCAGACGTTCTGGAAGAGAATATTAAACGTGTTAGAAGCACAATCTTAAAAAAAAATAAAAATTATAGTATTCCTTTTCCACCTACACAACATCCACCTTAATCATCTTACTCCCACATAACTGGCTCGACTTCAATGACACTGTCTCCTCTGCTAGCTTAAGAAACTGTTATATATTTCCATGATAGCTGAAAATGAACAATTTTCAAGTCAAGTTGTTAAATTCTACATGCTTGGAACAGTGTGTGGGTGTTGTATGGATTGGCATAGAGGACTGAAGAAATCACCCCCCTCCTGGGTGTGCGCGCGCACACACACACACACACACACACACACACACTTCTGATGACAAGCTGCTTGTTTACTTATAGACTTGAATAAAGGCTTTTACTGCATAGCAGTCTTTAGCTAAGAAAATTGTATGTAACATCAAGATCAATAGTTTCAAATGCAATTTAAAAGTTTAGTGGGATCAATAGGATGCCCCTGTCCCTGTGGATCCCTAGACAAAGATAAGCAAATGTGCCAAAGCTGGAACTCAGGCTCAGTAGTCCTGTTAACTTATGCCAGCTATGTTTGAAACTTAGAAGCAATCAGATGCGTTGGGCCAACAAAATGGTGACTTCCATTGACAGTGTTTCTTTCCAGGCCACTTCCATGTAGTTAATCTCTTTTGAACATTATCAACACTGGGGTGGGAGTAACCACACTATGGTTACCAGAGTGTGAGAAGTATTTTAATGACTCCCAATCTGTTAACTTTAGTGGCTTGGATGCTGGGTTTGCCTGTCCATGAAGAGCTCCTTCTGTTTACAGAAGGGTTCTAATCCACCAGAGCCTCCTATCTGTGGCATGGGAAAAGTGGTTTTTGCTAATTTCTCCTCCGTAGCACCACCATCCATGCTGTACTGGGGGCCCTCTGGAGCAGATCTGCAGAAGAGAAAGGGGAAATTGGTAAATAGCACCTCCCCTCATTTGAACCAGAGCATAATTCGAGTCATAGAAATCTGGATTCCAAGTCATTGTCTTAATACCACCTGCCGCTGTTCTAATTGTGTTTGTTTTTATTACACTGCTTATAGTCTATTGTTAGCTAACTTGAAACATTCATCAAAAGGCAGAATATAAACCCTTAAATAAATAAATAGGCATTGAAGGTACAGTGGTACCTTGGTTCCTGAATGGCTTGGCTCCCGAACAAATCGGCTCCTGAACGCCACAACCCCGGAAGTAAGTGTTCCAGTTTGTGAACGTTTTTCAGAAGCTGAATGTCCAACGCGGCTTCCGCTGCTTCCGATTGACTGCAGGAAGCTCCTGCAGCCAATCAGAAGCCACGCCTTGGTTTTCAAACTGTTTTGGGAGTCAAACGGACTCCCAGAACAGATTAAGTTTGAGAACCAAGGTTCCATTTGGAGAGCCAATTGGTACCCGCTTGCTTGCAGAGTAAACCCAATAGTGTATTACTAAACAGCATGAAATGAAACTGATGTTCTGATTATTTCTGCACCAGAACTCATGACACAACTGACTAGAGTGATGTATAGTATGGAACAAATCAATAGCATGCTATCATGTTGGAGTTTTTGTCCCTGATTTCCCACCGATATGCTCTGTAAGTGGCATTAAAGCAACACATGAAACATTGCTACAATACTCAAAATTCACACAATTTGCTAATAAATGTTGAGCACACAACAATAACATATGCAAAAAAAATTCTTTGCAATCAAAAGTATGGGTAACTGTATCCATCATCTTAAGAAGGAGATCTTATAAGGCTTGTATTAAACCTTTCTCATTGCTTTATTCACATAATCCGAGCAGACAGCACATCAGCATCTCATGGTAATTTGTTGTTCAGTTTCACCATATGCTTATTATAGCCTGATCTGATCTATCCATCATTTCCTACTTATTCTCTTGCAACTACGTCTTAACTGTCCCACTGCTTCTCTGAAGTCTGCTAATTGTCTCCTCCCTGCTGACAGTTAAATTTCCTTCACCACCCCTCAGATGACAAAGGTAATTTTCACGTTATGATAATCAGTCCATGTCAATAACTACGGGGAAAGACCAAATAAATTCTATGGTATAGTTCAGATTCTGTTTTTGTTGTTGATTAGTCGTTTAGTTGTGTCCAACTCTTCGTGACCCCATGGACCAGAGCACGCCAGGCACTCCTGTCTTCCACTGCCTCCCGCAGTTTGGTCAAACTCATGCTGGTAGCTTCGAGAACACTGTCCAACCATCTCGTCCTCTGTCGTCACCCTTCTCCTTGTGCCCTCCATCTTTCCCAACATCAGGGTCTTTTCCAGGAGTCTTCTCTTCTCATGAGGTGGCCAAAGTACTGGAGCCTCAGCTTCAGGATCTGTCCTTCCAGTGAGCACTCAGGGCTGATTTCCTTAAAAATGGATAGGTTTGATCTTCTTGCAGTCCATGGGACTCTCAAGAGTCTCCTCCAGCACCAGAATTCAAAAGCATCAATTCTTCGGCGATCAGCCTTCTTTATGGTCCAGCTCTCACTTCCATACATCACTACTGGGAAAACCATAGCTTTAACTATATGGACCTTTGTTGGCAAGGTGATGTCTCTGCTTTAGGAAGTCATTATTTTAGCTAAACTGAAGTTCCAAAAATTCTAGGTCTTTTTATCCACTGAGGATTCCTGAAGTCCTGAAAGCACAATATCAGTAACAATGGAATCCAGTGCCAAAGTTCAATGAAATTACATGGGCTACAGAAAACTCTTCTATCTGTCTACATGCATCCATTAGCTATTTACTGTGACAACAGAAAATGTCTGTAATTATTCTAACTGCTAAGAAAGGAAACAGTTGACAATAGGATCATCCTGTGAAACTGATTGGCAGTTTCCTCTCATAAAGTGCAGATCCTCCTCCTCATCATCATCCTTCTCCTCCTTCTTTTTAAATCACACTGAGGAAATTTTAATCAAAGAACAACACTTTAATCAATTAACCACACCAATCAATTCATTAAATCTTGCAGCTCTTTTATTTTCACATAGTACTGACAGGATAATGTCAGGATAATGAAAAATAGACAAGTTCAGCCATGGGTTCAGAATGCCAACCCCTATGTCAACACTTCCCAAATTAGCATTGCTTTGGCAACAATAATAAAAGCACAGAGAAAGATACTATGCAATTGCTTGACTTCTGTTGTCATTAAGAACAATGCTGTCTGGAGTTGGGTTGTGAGGCACTCTATTTCTTCAGAAAACAGAGGAATAGCATGGAAAGCACAATAAATACTAGCTAGCACCAAAAAAGGGGATAATGTTTTCTCTTATGCCTTCTCCGTTAAGTACCACTAATAACCGTCAAGTTCACTCTCCCAAGCCCTGCTCAGTTTGAGTGAGTGTTGCAGGTGGAAGTGCTGTCTCGTATACTCACCATTACATACATACATCATGTTACTTGTATGCAGCCTTTCCATAGGTACAACCAGTGCTTTTTTCTTGGGGGCGGTGCAGGGATACGCATACCCCTAAACACTTTGTGAATCTTCATACTTTTGTCCATTTACTGTATTTATTTTTCCCAATTTGAACGATAAAATGGTTATTTTCTTGAGTCAAAATGAGAGTACCCCTAAACAATTTTTTTTAGAGAAAAAGCACTGGGTACAACCATGCACAAGGCGGCTTACAGCATGAAAAGATTTGCATTACAAATATAATAAAAGTAGTCATAACAATAAGCACATCAAAAAGCACACAACCAAATTGAACAAATTCCACATAAATAATAAGATCTAAAATAAAGATGCCAAAGATTATTCTAGTAACATTAACAACCCCGTCCCACCCACTCCACCCCACAAGAATTTAAAAATATCCTAACCAACACCTCAGCCCAATAGTCTGCAGCCTCGTCTTTTGTAGCTGGAGTCAGTCAGGGCCCTCCTCTCCCGGGCCAGGTGGGCAAAAGGCCTACAGGGCAGGAAGCAGGTCCTCCAGGACTCACAGTCAAGATGGTATTGCCAATTGAACTCAAGGGGTCTTATGTTTAAGTAGGCATATCTAGGATTGTGCTGTTAGTAATTTTCACTGTCTACAACACCCATGTAGACAAGGTGGCTATGGCAACAATCTCAGTGTTCCTTAGGTCATGGGTCGGCAAACTAAGGTCCGCGGGCTGGATCAGGCCCAATTGCCTTCTGGATCCAGCCCATGGACAGTCCGGGAATCACCACGTGGATCACCAGCATGCACGTTCTTTCCCTCTCCCTCACACGGCGGCGGCGGCAGCTCCTCCCTCCCTCCCTCCTCCTGGCTTCTCCCTGCCCTGCCTAAAGGAGGAAGGGGGCTGGGCTTTGTTGGTGCCAGCAGCAGCAGCAGCGCTCGAGCGGCCGCCATTTTAAGCAGCCCCTCTCTGGAGCCCTTTCGCCTGCCACTCATCGTCCCACCGCCTCACCAGCCCCTGCCACTTGCAAGACACAGGTAAGCAGCCACCGGGGCTCATGGTGCTCTTGCATCATTTCCCCCAAAAAATATAGTCCGGCCCCCCACAAGGTATGAGGGACAATGGACCAGCCCCCTGCTGAAAAGTTTGCTGACCCCTGCCATATGGAGTGATCATCTGAAGGTGCTTCCATATGTTTTGTAGACTGCTTTTCAGCTTCCCCTAAAATTTCTTCCAAATTATTTGGAATGGTTGCACTGAAGCCAAAGTGAGAGGAACAGGGGCCTGAACCAGGGCCAAAGGATGGAATAAGCTTTTATGAAAAGAGCCTTGTTCTATCTGGATTCCCGCCAGAGAGCTGGAGAGAAGATGAGACAGAATTCGTACAGAAAAATAAGGCAGGCAAGAGGCCCCCTCAATCCATGTTTCACTGATGGTAGAGGAAATTAAGACCCTCTTCCCACCTCGCCACATTACCCCCACACACATACAGAAGCAGGAGCACTTGCGTCGATCTAGCTGCTTTCATGATATTATGCTGCATTCTTCCCAAAGGAAGTCACTTGGTGCAATCCTAGGCATGGCTGCTCAGAATTAAGTTCCACCAAGTTCAGTGGGATTTACTCCCATGTATATGTGTATGGGGTTGGAGCCTAAGTGGCAGCACCAGGGGGAAAAAATATGGAGGGGTTCACAGACTGGGCAAAGTACAGCTGGAATGAGAGAACAGATTTCTTCCACATGTTAGTTTTCTGAAACAGAAATAATGATACATTTCACATTAATGCTCCCACCGCAACATACCTTCATTATAGTAAGCCCCGTTGTTGTTTTTTCATGGTGTTATCTTTCAAGTTAGCACATTTCAGATTACAACCTTATTTTATTTTTTCACTTTGTGGTTCAGTTATAACTTGTATGTGAAAAGTTTTTGCTGTTGTTATTGTTGTTGTTTTAATTGTACCCCGCCAATCTGACTGGTCACCAAGGGTTCAAGTAATCAAAGGGATGGGGTGGGGGGAGTTAATGTTGGAAAGGTTGGTTGCTCCTCCCTTCACTCTTCTCTAGAACCATTTATTAAGTGACTAGGAAAGCTTGTGACAGACTCAGCCAGTCAACCCCCTAGAAATATGTAAGGTGTCCAATCAAGCATTGCCAGGTGTCAGAACCCTTATGCTGTCATTATTGGGCCTGTGAACATACTGCTGATTTGGTCTGATTCATCATTCTGAAGATATTGCCTTGCATTTAGAAGTGCCAAGTCCTTAAGACTGTGAAGACTGGCTTGAAAGTGTGCGAGCAATTGATGATGAAATCTCAGGAAGGCAGGGGAAGTGGGAAAAGGCAAGCAAGACTAGCAGTAACATTTCCCCCTGCTGCATCCTACCTGCTACTATTCATTTTTGGTGGCAAAACTGAAACTAGTGATAGGATGAAGTTTCTCAAATCGCTTTTGACTCATTTTTTTGGAGGGGGGTGGCGGAGTTTGGGTACCCAAAGTTAAGGTGGTGGGGAAAGCAAATTTCTTAAAGGATTCATAAAGGGCAGCTTTACCATTGCCAACAACGCAAGGGTGAGTTCTTCCTCTCCCCACTCCACCCCCCCCCAAAAAAATAATTCACATAACACTCTCTAGCACCTTCAGGTTGTAGGGCCAGTTGTCTTTCAGAGAAGCTTTCCTTCTATTACTGCTCTGCTCAGTGAGCAGAGCCTAGTAATCCTCAAGCTTCTGAGGATTCCGCTACACACTTTTTGAAAACCAGTGTACCAGACAGTTCCCTTTCCTTCATTCTCTTCCTTTGCTTATGCCTCTCCTTGCTCCGCCTCCCTGGGGAACGCTGGCTTCCCACACTGCGATCATTTCTGAGCACACACCTCTTTGTCATTCATTTCCCTCACTTTAAAGCCGCAGTGTTGCCTCTGCGCTGCCTGACTGACCCTACTAAATGGCAAATTTCACCGCTTGCCATGTATCCAAACGATCTAGGGCGGAAGAGCACGTCTTTGCTTTATGCTACATTTCCAGACATCATGTCTCATTAACATCTGTCTGGTTGAACAAAGCACTTCGCTCCACAGAATTGATGAAAGCCAGGCAGGGGCTCCAGCAACGTCCTGAACCACAAACATAAGAGGAAGCAGCCATGATGTGACACTGAGCTGAGGGCGCGTCTCTGGCTATTGATGTACAGTGGCCTCTTAAACTAAGCACTCCCAGTTCCCACATACAGATTTATACATGATGTGGAATCCACCTGTATGATATAATGAATTTGACATCTTGTCAACCCTCTCAGTTACCAAGTGTGCCACAAATGTAAAAATGTTATTTAAAATAAAGGCAGCTGCAGCTACATCCATTTATTTATTTAGTTAGTTAGTTAATTTTTTTTTAATAATAATAATAAACACCCTACACCTTTCATAGGTGTCAGTACAAAACATATTATATATCTCATCATTTCCCCCTAACAAAATATTCAACCATTTTCCCAGGCCTTTTTTGTAAACTCATGCTGATCTGTTTTATAGAGCTGCTGGTTTTAGTTCTATTTTTTTTAAGTATTCATTACTTAGTTGTGTTTTTAAGTTTATTGCAAGCAGTTCTGATAATGTTTTATTTGAATTATGAAGTAGGAATCTAAATAATAAATAAATAAACAACTGTGCCAAAATTACATCAAATAGCTTTAAAGTGCTATTTAAAGTGCCCCCTTCTCCAAGGTATATTAACTCAGTTGTTGTTGTTTTTTTTAAAAAAATAGTTTAATTTAATCTAGAACTAACAGGGCAATATGACAATCTCTGAAGAGTGACAAAAGTTGCAGCTGAGTTTCCTCCCCAAATAATCCTGGGAACTGTAGTTTGCCCCTCACAGAGCTACAGTTCCCAGAGTTTTCTGCATGCATATCCAGGCATACTCAGTTCCAGGATACATTCCATTCAGGCAAAACCACTCGAGGGTGCACAGTGGAGCCAGCTAGGGACATGATTTAAGGATTTAGGAAGGAGCATGGTTTAAGGAGAAGCCAAAGGCTGGCTAGACAGGCCTGGGCCTGGCTCCTGCCAAAGAACAATGACAGATGTACTGTCTTGTCAGTAAGGAAGCCAAGTTTTACTCTAGCAAAGTGACAGCATATAATCAGCAACGGGAGAAGAGCAGAAATTAGTCCAGTTACCCGAGGAGCCTATAATGAAGGAAGAATCAAGCCAACTCCAGAGAGGGGCTTCAGGGTTCCTGAAATGTTTATCAGGGAGAAGGCCTGGGCTCAGGATTCTGGGATCAGGAGCAGCAATCTAAAACTGCACATGAGCATGAAATTGTTCCAACCGTTGGCCCTGCCTACCCACCCGTCCGCCCACCCGCCTGCCTGCCTGCCTGTGTTTAAGTGCTGGGCTCCATTTTCACTTCTATGATAATTCTTTTGAAGACATTACTTGAGAGCCCTTTTCAGGACAAAGACCAAGACACCAGAATGGTTGTTTTGGGACCCATTAGGAATCCTGTGTTAAACTGTTGGATACTATAGTGTTATGTCCTCAAGATTTTCTGGAGCAACTTTCAAAGTTGTCTGATTCTGTAACTTTGAGGTTGCCTTTCCATTGACAGGCCAATGACTGGTACAACAGGTGAGAGGAAATGATTCAAGCTATACTTAGAATAAAAGTATAAATTTTTATACTTTTTAAGAAGTACGGTATTTTACACTGCCAGGCTTATGCAGAAATTGAGAAAGAATGTTATGTGATAGTTTGCTGATGATCTATCATTTTTATTTTTTACATGATTTCTATTATAAATATGTATAGCTGAAAAATGCTTTGCGTTTTTTAATGAAATTGTGGTATTTTTATAAATGTATAAATATTTGTCCAGAGACCTCAGGGTGGGATAAAAACTAGATCCATGCCTTAAAAAATGAAGCATCGTGGATAATTTTCTCATCTTTAGTTGAAAGTGATGGTAGATAATGAAGATAATGAAGACCCAGGGAGTTAAACACTGTGAGTAGAATCCTGGTGATGCCCTTGTGCTCACAGAAGGGTTTTTGATGGAGCAGAATCTTCCATTAAGTGGGGCAGGACATGGGCCCTACCTGAAAAAAATTGCTCAAGAAAATTCAGGGACCCTCTAGGCCACTGTGGATGCAGGAGCAAGGCAAGGGGGAATAGATGAATCTTATGGTTCAGGGACGTCCAACTCCCAAGAGACTGCAATCTGCTCCAAGAATTAAAAAACTGGCAGGGATCTACCCATGGGGGGGAGGACCCAAAGTTGTTGAGCTTTTTTAGGGGGCCAGGGCAAAGCTGTTGAGCTAATTTTAGGGGGCGTGGCACCAAAGTTCTTGAGCTTCTTGGGGGGGGGCATAAATCGCTCACCAAACAATAAACCGGGCAGCAATAACACCGTCTTCCGTTTTTGCAGTCATGCGCAAATTAAGGACAGAGCAAGGGGATGGGGCAGATATCACCCGGGATCCACCTGTCAATCATGGTCAGGACATCCCTGTTATAGCTGAATTCTTTTAGCAAAAGCATCCACTAAAACCATTAGCCTGAGGGCACCAAGTAGAATCTGCATCTTCTTCATTTGGGAATTGGTAAATTAGCATAATGATAAATAAGGTGTTTGTGTTTTTTTGTTTTTTAAAGGTCTCAAACGTTTTGCTAGCCATTTTCCAATGGAAAAATATTTGTTGAGTTCAAGTGGGGGAGGGGGAGAGAATTGCACTGAAGAGAGAATTTTGAACTGATATCATAATACAGTAATGGGAAAAGGGGAAGGGATAAGATAAAATTGGCCTGCTAAACTCACTATTATATCATTATTTTCACATACTAATAGATCGTCAGTGCAGCAAATTTAGTGTTGCATATCTACCACGGCATTCCTGTCCATCATAGCTATGTGTGCACCTTTAACATGCAACAGACCTGCTAGGAGCCATGTTGCTTCTGATTTCTCTTTCCTTTCTTCCCCAGGGATGACGTGTCAAGCCCGAAGTTCTTATGTTACCAGTGAGATCCTGTGGGGTTACCGTTTTACACCTGTTCTCACGCTAGAGGACGGATTTTATGAAGTTGATTACAATAGCTTTCATGATACATATGAGACCAATACACCATCTTATAGTGCCAAAGAACTGGCAGAGATGGCCAGCCGTGCAGAATTACCCCTCACTTGGTCTGTGTCCAGCCAATTAGACCAGCGTGCCGAAATGGATACTGAAGAGGAAACCAAGAACCACGAAGAACAAACTGAAAGGAATGGTGATGTGGCCAACTTAGAGAATGAGTCCAAAGTTTAGAACTTAACAGTGGGGACAGAGAACCACTAATCTTCCTTTAAAAGGGGAAAGAGGGAGGACCGATTAAGGTGTGACAAGCCTCCCTGCCCGTAAGGCAAGCAAAGATTTGGGTTAAAGCTGCAATATCCCTGCAATGTTGCCATGTAATCTCTTATCCTAGTTCTATTTTTTCAGCTGGAGAGCTCAGTGTTCACACATGCAGGTGTGTGGTTTGGGGCTGGTTTCAAAGATAAAGGGCAGAAGTTTGTTAACCGGGGCCAAAAGCAAAACACAGTGACTGTAAGTGAAGTCCATTCACGTCCTGAGCTTTAACTCCAGTTTTCATATACTGTATTCTAAGACAGTTTTGAATGAGATGCCTGCATTGCAGCTTTTAGACCCAAGGAGGTGAAGAGAAAGGTCTGAAATTCAATGAGATACTGTACATATGCCTTATGTATTTTCTTTCTCTTTCAGTTTAGTAATAAGCCCAGCATGTACAAAAGTACTGTAGTAAAGAACCTCTAAATAATGTACATACGTGTGTAATTAATGTAGGTTTAGAGATATAATTTAGAAAATAATGGGATGCAAAAAACAAAACAAAAACCCAACCACCTATCATGAGGAAAGCAGTTCTCTTCTAACACCAGACGTTTATTAGAGTTTAGCACCCATTTATAACTGCCCCATGAATGCATGTCTATTTCCTCATTGTACCAGACTGGCAGCTGTTTAGAGTACCTCACTGTTTTCTTAAGCGATGATTTAGCTGACTCTAAAAAGCCATAGGTCTGGGGTGGGGGGATAAGGGCAGAAAAATTACAACACGATTCCTGATAAACTGTGAAACTGTTTACAAAACAATCGTTTTCTTTGTAATGTTATATGGTTAAAAAAAACCCACTTCTGGCTACTTGGGCAGGACAGCTAGAATTTAACTGTGGCAGATTCTTGTCCAAGGCAAGGATTCCTTTTGTATGACATTTGTCTATCAGAGATTTTGTGTCGGGCTATTAACCCTTTAAGTGCAATACTTTAGGAAACTTTGGTTTTCAAAACCATTCAGCTAAACAAAAAACAAAAAAACACCTGTGTAATTTGCTATATCTATAGCTATATAACCTATATAAGCCATGAAAATTTTTGAATGTTATACCATAGTTCAGCAGAGAACATTTCCAGCTGATGTTCTATCTGGAAAAAAAAAACTGGACTTCAGCTGGATTTCATTATTGTAATAGGTACTTCATATGTCTTGAATACTCCCTGCAAAGATCTGCCAGCATGTCAGCCTTGCACATGTGTTGTTTCTGTGATGTCAATGAGCACAATCTGTAGGCCTCATTCTGCCATCTTTACTTATAATGAGTAGTGCCTTAAGTGCTTTCCAGTGTTACATTCTCCCAGTGGTTGACAACTGCAAATGAGTAGATACAACAGCTATACAGCATCCCTGACCCAACTGCCACCAGTTCATGCATTCAAAGCTGAATTATCTCCTGAGGAAATAGGTTTGGGATTGTTTTGGTCCTCATCACTTACTTACTTACTTACTTACTTACTTATTTGCTGCCCATCTGACTGGGTTGCCCCAGCCACTCTGGGCAGTTCCCAACAAAAAAAGAGTAAAAACACCAGTGTAAGGCATAACAAGCAGTATCATACAGTACTGTGTTCATCTTCATGGCTCAGATCAGCATTTTAGCTATGACAAAAACAAAACAACAAAACAGAAGAGGTCTTTATTCTGTTCCCATAGTATTTTCGTGAAAAAGAAAAATTTGCAAAGATTTTCCACCAAAAAGCTTTCAGGCTATCTTGTAGGGAATAGACCTAATAAAATGTTTAGCTACATATCCATGGATTCATGGCTAAGAGAGCACTCCGCTCTGGCAAACCATTAATATACTACCAGATAAGAACATTGTACCATAGACATAGACATTGATTTAATCATTGGGCAGCCCCACCCCCAAAGTTCTTTATTATTGTTTGGTCATTAAGAAAACTTACCAAGTACTATCTTGGCACCCAAATCCCAATTAAATATGGATAGCCATAGCATCACACACCATCATTATCAGAACGGCATGTTTAGGAAACTGCTTCAAATATTTACATGGCAAGTGTGTTGCATCAGTCCATATGTATGTCAGGTGGAATTAGCCTTTTACATTTATTATGCATTAATGCATTAATACTAATCCTATTCTAACCATTTATGCCTTGCCCTCACCATAAGTAGACCTTGAGTACTGCAGGGTTGCTGAGCATTTTTGCATGACAACTTAACGGCCAGGTCCACACATCACAGTAAACCATGGTCTGAACCAAACAACAACTTACCATGAATAATTAGTGTGGCAGTGTGTGCCAAGTAAATCACACCTCTCTGTTCCTCACTTTGCCAAGCCAGGACGAGGCCAACCCTAGCGCTGGCTTAGTACCGCATGAGAACCATCACTTGTGGTTTGCTTCTCTTCAAACCAATCAAGAAGGCAAAATTTGTTCTTGGCAGTTCTTGGCTCACTACTTGTGATTTGTTTGGAGAGAAACGTCGGACCAGTCCTGCTTCAAGTATAATGCTAAACTAGACATATAGTTTGTTCCCCTCCCAGCTTGGTGGGGTCAGCACAGGATAGCAGCAATGTAAACACACTGCTCATTCACTGTAAGCCAAGGTTTGTTTCAGACCATGGTGTACCATGATCTATGAATGGGGCTAAAGCAGCATTTGCTAATGGTCATGTCTGCTGGTGGCATAATGGTACATTGACATTAACTTGCTGCATGGTACACATTTAGTTGCTAAGGCAGTGAGACTAGGATAGATTTTTGTCGAGGATAGATTACAGCTCCCAAAGGAACCCACATTGTGTAATTTGTGCATGTGGAAATCTCTCTGTAGAAATAAAGTAGTGCAATTCAAATCAAAACCATTTATCTTGAACTGACTCTGTTTAATTTGGTAGCATCCAGAGTATATTACTGCTCAGTCAGAGTAAGGTTGGCAGAAGGTTGGCAGTGTAAATAGAGGACAATGGTTGTAACTCCGTAGTACAAATGCCCTTTCAAACAAAACAAACAAGCCTTAATTTTGTGTTTATGCCTGCCTAATCTGAAAAACTAAAAGTACATTGAGAAGAAGTTCAATTATTTTTTGTATGAAAATATATATAATCATGTTTTAAAATACATGACTCAGGAGAAATCTAGTAGGCAGGTAGAAAATTTGCACTGTGATAGATTTTTCACATTTAGTTTGCATCAATGTGCTGATTTTCTCTTAATGCCATTCCAGCTATTTAAGTTTTATGGAGTTATGACAAATATGTCATTTACACTTCCCAGGAGCTGTGTTCACTTCTAGCCGAAGATGTTGTGCCACTGAGCTGGATTGATAAAACCAGCTGCACTTATGCTTATTAGAATTGGAAAAATATTGCCTGGTCACTTGCACAAAAGAAGTGACCTCCATATGGTTTTCACTGCCCTGGCCATTCCCCAAAAGGTGGTGTGTGTGTGTGTGTGTGTGTGTTTCGTGTCAGGTTGACAAGTTTCACCAGGAAGATATAGAATTGTTACTTCCTTTCATTTCCACTTTTGGAAGCTAGTTTCATTGTAGATAATGTTAATATGTAGTCATAAGTCCTATGTAAGCCGTCACAATGTTGGAATGTGCCAGTTATTTATGTTTATATAGCTCACCCAGATCCCAACACAACTCTAGTAGCACTTTGCTATGTGCAACCTGGAGCCCCAGGTGCAGGTATATATCCCAGGTTATGCATCCATGTTGGGTTCAATGGAATAGATGAACATCCCAATCACAGCCACAGCCACACACCTTGTGGGTCTCCCTGTCTGGATGAAGCACCTGTCTATAATGCTGAGTTTGCATGACAGAAGAAGTTACTGGCTAATTCACATAAACTATCTACCTTGGTAGCTCACCCAGTAGAGCATGAGACTCTTAAAGGATTGTTATAGCCACCACCATGCCCCCAAACTATGGGGAGAGGGCCCAGAGCAGGGGTTACAAACTTTTTCAGCAGGGGGCCGGTCTACTGTCCCTCAGACCAGGTGGGGCGGACTATTTTTTTGAGGGGGGAATTAACAAATTCCTATGCCCCAAAAATAACCCAGAGATGGATTTTAAATAAAAGGATACATTCTACTCCTGTAAAAACACGCTGATTCCTGGACCGTCCGCAGGCCGGACTTAGAAGGCGATTGGGCCGGATCCAGCCCCCGGGCCTTAGTTTGCCTACCCATGGCCCAGAGTGTAGAAAAAGAGGACTATTTTTGTTTATCTTAAATATTTTTGACAAGGGTGGCTTGGTTTAGCCCTCTCCTTCCAGTCACAACTCTGAGGACTAAGAGTGACATTTCCATAAAATTTTGTGGTGGTGCATTAACATACATCAGAGTTGGTCTTATAACAGAGAATCTACAGGAGAAAGAACTGTGGAAAGCTCCAACAAGGTTCTACTAAAGATCGAACTTACTCTACTAATGAGAATGCATGAGAAAGAATTAAAAAAAACAAAAAAGTGAGCTTATTTGGGAAAAGAAGCTTTTTGCTCTTGTGATTTTGGGGTCTTTTCTGTAATCAATTATGGCAGGTTTAGTAAGGTTTGTTTTGTTTGAAAAAAGATTAAAAGCGTGCCATATGAAAATTCAGTCTGAAGGTCCTCTTAGAGCTTTCTTTGCAACCTTTAGCACATAAAGTGAAGCTGCATCATACTGACACATGCATGTGTAAGCTGTAATGTTGTGAGTAGGGCACAAAGCTTAAAAGTCTCTCTCAAATTGTCTCTGTTATTATCAATGACGCATCCAATGTAAAGTTTACGGAATCTTGTTTTTGTAATATAAGCTTAAAACTCAAAGCTTCCGATGCTTTCAATGGGGAGGCATCACCAAAATTTTGTACTAAGAATGTCCCACACATTTCTATTTTTCTACAATGACTGATTAAGAAGTTTAACAATGTATTTTGTGTCAATTATTTCCAC